ATTTATTTTTCAGTTCTCGGCGGACACAACATCTTTGTTTGTATGTGGTGCTGAGGATCGAACCCGGGCCGCACACATGCCAGGCGAGCGCGCTACCGCTTGAGCCACATCCCCAGCCCTTTATTTTATTTTAATCAATTTTATATTGCAATCCTAGTGACTTGGGAAGCTGAGGCAAGAGGCCAGGGGCACTTAGCAAAACCCTGTATCAAAATTAAATAGATAGGGCGTGTAACTCAGTGGTAGAGCACTTAGCAAGTACGAGGTCCTGGGTTCAATCACCAGTACTGAAAAAAAATTAATACTTATATTGTCTTCCATATATGAGACTTGTTTGTCTCTTTTTTTTTTTTTAAAGAGAGAGAGAGAGAGAATTTCAATATTTATTTTTTAGTTTTTGGCGGACACAACATCTTTGTCGGTATGTGGTGCTGAGGATCGAACCTGGGCCGCACGCATGCCASGCGAGCGCTTGAGCCACATCCCCAGCCCCTTGTTTGTCTCTTTATACATGCCCTTTATCTTTGTAAATTCTTTCTAGAATATCTTCTCCCAATCAGTTTTCATTTCCTTTTCAGCATGTCTATTATCTACCTCAACTCATCTGACTTATGTCTTTTCCCTTATCAAGGTCATATCATATAATTTTCCATTTGTGAGTATAAGGCAGGGTTCATGCCCAACTTATCTTTACATTCCCAGCATCTAGTACAGTGCCTGAAAAGTAGGATGTACTCAGTAGATAATTTTTGGATGCATGAATGAATGACTGAAGTTACTCAATTAGGTTCTTATTTTTTTTGTTTTGTTTTGGTTTTTATTGTTTTTTGTTTGTTTTGCTTTGCTTTTTGTTTTGTTTTTGCAGTATTGGGGATCAAACCCAGGGCCTTTAGTATCCTAGGCAGACTCTTTACTACTACATCTCCAGCCCTTCAGTTGGGTTCTTATATTGTGTCTTGGTTGTTTATGTTGTCTTCCCAAYAATACTCTAAACTAAGTTGTGAACTCCAAAGCAGCACTGCATTCCTGTCACCAGTGTACACTGGGTCACGGTTCAGTTTGCTGTAGATGTTTGTGTGTGTGGCTTCCTTCAGTAAGCTCATGCTTTTGTGTACATTGGGATGAAGTGAGGGTATAAGTGTTTGTGGGCTGGATTCCCTGCTGCCCAGCCTGACTTCCTACAGTCAGCAGGACGGACCTGGAGATGTCAGGACTGAAGACCCTGGAGCATGTGGCAGTGACAGTCTCCATCACTCACCCACGACGCGGCAGCTTGGAACTGAAACTGTTTTGCCCCAGTGGCATGATGTCCCTTATCGGCGCCCCCCGCAGCATGGACTCGTACGTACATCTGTCCATGACCCCTGAGCTCTCTGCAACAAGAGCCTTTTCAAATAGATACTGGCACTGTCCTAAGCAAGTGTGGCACTGGCTATTGGCAGCTGGAAGCTGTTGATCACATGCTTTATTCAAGTGTTTACAATGTGCTAGGCATTGTACTCTACATATATTTGCTCTGATCCTTAAAGAAGTAGACTTTGTAACCTCCTTTGGCAAATGAGTGAACAAATTATGGAGCTAGAAGTGCCTGAGTGAGAAAGAATAAATGTAGATCTGTGGGACTCCCAGGCCTGTGCTCTCTCCAGGTTAGCTTTTTTCACTTTGCCACATGGAACCAAGTCCCTCATTCCCTGAGATCCCAGGAGCAAGGGACAGCCCTTGAGAACCCCATGTGACACCCTCCAAAATGACTGTAGCTCCTTTCTGTGCCTGCTACAGTTAGAAAATGATGCTTCTGGAGAAGGGCAGCTCCCTGTGCCATGCTTCCCATGTTTTCTGTTTTGTTCTATCCCTAGGGATCCAAATGGCTTCAACGATTGGACCTTCTCCACTGTGCGGTGCTGGGGGGAGAGGGCAAAAGGCATCTACAGACTCGTTATCAGGGATGTAGGTGAGCCTCCCCACCCTTCCATCAGGGCCTTGCCTCTCATGATTGTCTTCTGGTCCCTGTGGCTCTCAGAGTCCCCCCAGAAGCTGTCCCATGTGGAGTACATAGGGTTGCCGGTGGCTAAGAAATGTGCCCCATCCAGAAATTGAGCACTGATCTCTAAAACTGTTCATTTATACTATTCCTTGGAGAAGTGACTGATCCATTTTTCCTCAGGATAGCAACAAAAATTCCTTGTTGAAACCACATTTCAAGTCTTTTCACATATAATCATCCTTCGGCCAGCCCTGGTAGGCAGGTAAGGGCAGGACTAATTTTCACCATTTTTTTTTTTTAACTGAGGCCCAGAGGTTTGAAGTGACTTTTATAAAATCAAAATAGTAGTGAAGGTCAGAGTATCAGTGAATGCTAAATATCTACAGTATCAGTGAGGAGACTGGAAACTGAGCCCAGCCCTCCCAACTTCCAGTCAAGTTAGGTATTCACCAGATCAGTGGTTTTCAAACCTTCTTTAATTTGGTAGAAAAGTATTTTTTCTTTCCAAAAAAAAAATCTGAAACCGCAAAATATGGAAGACAAAGGCTCAACTCTGCTCAGAGTATATCCTTTCTGCCTTCCCTTTCCATCCCTAGGGCACCCTGTGAGGCACTTGTGCAGAACCCCGGGGTCTGTGGGACATAGTTAGACAACCTTTCAGCAGGCCACATGGTCTGAGTCCCCTTGGGTGGCGGGAGGGCTGGTATGGCCTACGGAGGGGCATTGCTCATGGACTACCCACTTGCCACCCCAGGAGATGAGCCGCTCCAGGTTGGCATCCTCCAGCACTGGCAGCTGACCCTGTATGGCTCTGTGTGGAGTCCAGTAGACATCAGGGACAGACAAAGGTAGGTGTAGCTGCATGTGTTAGAGGGAAGGCAACTCGTGAAGGGATAGGGAAGAGGCCACACGGGGAGCCCCTTCTCCTTCTGAACCCCAGCTGTGCTTCCCAACTCCAGGCTCAAATGTGTAGACAGAGCCATGGGCTAGGAAGCCCCAGTGTGCTCTTGCTCTGTTTCCTGTAGGCCTTTCCTCCCTCTCTTCAGCTGTAAGGTGGGAGACTGGGTGAGGGCAGATGGCATAGGAACCATGTTCAGTAGGGTGTCCTAATCCCTTTTCTTCTCCACAGGCTGTTAGAAAGTGCTATGAGTGGAAAATATCTACATGATGGCTTTGCTCTACCTTGTCCACCTGGGCTGACAATTCCTGAGGAAGATGGTTACACCATTACCCCCAACACCCTGAAGGTACTAGGGCCAAGACTCCAATTAGGGGCAGAYAGGACTGTGCTAGGGGTTTAGTCCTTGGGGCTATTCAGGATGATCTTATGGTAAGGGTGGGTAAGACCTGGGTCCCAACAGTGGTTTGAGAGCATTGCTCCTTCTCTTAGGGGGCAGTCCTTGTGTGGGGGAGCGGCATGAGGGGTAGAGGTGAGAGAAGCCGTGTCCAGAAGGGGAGACTCCCCTAGCTCATGGTTCTGGACTAGAAGCAGTCCCTAACATAGGTGCCTGACTTTTCTCCAGACCCTGGTGCTGGTGGGCTGTTTCACCATCTTCTGGACCATTTACTACATGCTGGAAGTATATCTGAGCCAGAGGAATGTGGCTTCYACTCCAGGCTGTAGGAGTGGACCCTGCCACTGGCCCCAACAGAGCCGAAAATCCAAGGAAGAGGGGACGGAGCTAGAATCAGTGCCACTTTGCAACAGCAAGGATCTAGATGGAGCAGAGACAGAGAGAGGGGGCCCTTCTACCACCTCTGGCCTCCTCACCTCAGACCTGCTCGATGAAGAGGACTGGAGCCTGTCCCAGAACAAGAATCCTCGGCACCAACCCTTAGACCTGTTGCAGGGAAAGGAGGAGCAGATTTGTTGACCTCGGGGCCTGATAGACTCAATGTGGGACAGGTTCTTCCTTCCCAACTTTGGGGAGCTCTGGAGAGAAAGCAGTCCTGATGCTTACATATGGAACCCAAGGCCTAAACAGCATGTTTTGGCTGCCCTCCGGGAGGGTAAGGGCCTTCCTCAGTACAAGTGGCAGAGGACTGATGGAAGAGAACAGTCTGGCGAAACACAGGATCCTTCTCCCACAGACTGGGAGCTTTTGGTGAGAAGGTCCTAGACAAGGGATTGGTGCCTGCATGGAGCAGGCCTCCCTCCATCCCCATTCTCTCTCAGGCAAGCCAGCAATCTAAGTCATAGGGACCCCTGCTCATGCATGGGTGGAGAAGGTGCCTGCATCGCCAGGAACATGACTGRGTTACTTGGGAAGAGGGCTTGTGGGAGGCTGGGTAAAACCCTCGACATGCCTGCCCACCAGCAGCTGCCTCCATTGTCCCTCCCTGCACTCCTGGTCTGAAGCCAACTTTGAACGTGCCCCTGACTCCCTCTGTCGTCACCCCCCACCCTTCCTCCTTCTGAAGGWTCAGTATGGTGCTCCTGGTACAGCTGAGAAGGGGCACTCCTCCCCAGGGCCCATGCCACTTCATCAGGAAGTCTGTGGCAGGATTGTGGACAGGTGTGAGACAAGTGTTTTAGAAGACAGCCTGGGGAGCCACTGCCACTTAACCCTATGACCACCCTGTCTTCCTCTGCAAAGTGCTCAGGGAAATGGCCTTCCCCTGGGAGGCCTCTGTCCGCCTGATAGGCTGTTACTTTTGCTCCCTCTCTTGGCCTCCTCCCTTCTGAGCTGATTCGTTGATTTGAATTTTTTTAATGCTTAAGATTTGATTTTTCACAGCAACATTTTGTTGATTTTTTTTCTGCACAGCTTTTCCAAAATAAAAAGCTTCCAAACAATTCTTCCACTCCCCATTCATTCTGCCTGCCCAGGGCTAATGCCAGGAGCCAGGTGGCTCTTCTTCCCCTCTAGTCCTCAAGATTCACTCTCCTGTCCATGGCCTGCATGAAGAGTCCTCCAAAGGACAGCAGCCAGGAACACACCCGAACCCCAGATGCCACCTGCTTTCTGCTTGGGTTTCCTGGAACCATAACAGGAATGACTAGGGCAAATCAAACTCTGCCAGACAGGCCTGAGAAAAGATGGACGTATATATATWTTTTTCCTTTTTGAATTTTAACCCCAAAAGGAAAATTCCAGAAAAAGATGGGGGAAAGCCGGCTGGGTCTCCATCAATGGGCTCTTGCTGCCAAGGAGGAGAATGAGCTTGCCCCATACCCACACTATCCCAGCCCGTGTCCCCCTGCTCAGCCTAGGACAGGGAGACAGTAGAGGTGGGGGTACAGCTGGGAGAAGGGGCCAGGGCAGTGGTGCTTTGAGGTAAGAAATAGGGYTGAGGCTGGGGGGTGTGAAGAGCTGCCACTGTGCAGTCTCCTCTGCCCAGTGACAGCCTTACACCTGGACAGCGCTAAGAACGCACACAGCTGAGAGTGAGGCAGGCTAAGCAGGAAGGCAGCAGCCAGCGGGCCGGCAAGCAGGGCTCCGGGCTGGCCCTCCCCTTCTAACTGATGATCTGCCGAGGTCTTCCGTAGCCCGTCATGCCAGCCTGGGAGGCCCCTCTGTTGCTGCCCATCTGAAGGCCAATGACATGCTTTCCCTCCTGCAGCTGGCTCTCTGTGAATTCCCTCTTATGCTCCTGGGCTTTCCTAGAAGAAGAGGAACCAGGATAAAGACTCGCCAGAACTTGGTATCTTCCACCTGTTTTCTAGTCCCTCAGTTGCTTCCTCATCAGATTCCATTCCTTTCCGATTTCACTCTTTCCCCCTCATCTAGCTGACCCCAGAGGGCTGAGGAACCTTCTTGAGCACAGGAGAGAAGAAAGGAAGGAGTCAAGAAGCATAAACGATAATTCCCCCCATCCTAGACCCTCACTTGGTACCTTCCTGGAGCTCTGCTTCCTCTGATCATTCCCACAAGCTGAATAGCCCAAGCCACCCCCATCCCATGAAGAGATCAGGCTGAGATCCCTGGTGGCCACATACTTCATAAACCAGTTGGGATCTCCACGGTAGTGCCCATCATTCTTCGTCACTGCCAGGCTGCCCAGAGCCATCAGAGTTCTCTGCACTGCTGCCAGGTCTTTGCCTATAAGAAGAAAGAGCAGCCAGGGGACATTTTCAGGATGATATAGACAGGACTTCACCAGAGATAGCTCCTGTCTCTCAGAATGCCAGGGACAAGCATTGTCCCCAAACCAAAGGAGGCTCCAGTAAGTCCTTGTTGGTACAGTGTAGCATTCTCTTGGCAATTCCTGTTACTGCTAGGTACAGATTACTAGAGCCTGGATGAGGCATATTTCATCATTCCTTCTCCCTGCCTCAGAATCCTGGTCACCTGCCTGCCTGCCTCCCCCGACTGGTTCCAGCCCCTTTTCCCTTTGTACCTTCAAAGAGATCAACAGTCTGGAACATGTCAGTCTTGGTGACCCCATAGTCTTCAGCTGCCTTCAGGAACTGAGCCACCTGCTCCATCTGCTTGAAGACCATGGAGGGTGGGTTCTCTGGAACCTTAACTGGCTTGGAGCCATCAGGATACAGGCTGTTCACCAACTTGCTCAGAATCTGCCAGGCATAGAACTCATCTTAGAGGTCCTGACCCTGCACCTCAGGATGGCACAACCCCAGCCCCCTTCCCCTTCTCAGGGTGCCACTCACCACGCCATTCTTCAGCCAGACCTGGAAACCCAGGCGGCCACGATCTGGACGACCCACATCAGGGCCACACTGCACTATGATCCACTCCACCAGTCGTTCCTCCAGTTCCTCGTCATACTTCTTTTCAATTTTGGATTGTACTTCACGGCTCATGCCATAGGAAGGACCCTTGTTGGCCATGTTGCAAGAGAGCTAAATCACAGCGGGGCAGAGAAGGGAAAGGGTCACAGAATTAGGAAACTGCTGTTTTCGTTTGTGCCAGGCAGATTTCTAGCTCTGCATAAAGACATTTAGGCCAGACCCATCCCCTTAGTGTAGAGGCCTTTCTGAACTTGAACCCCAGGACATAAGACGTTCGGAATTCTAAGCAGGGATCTATAGACTTTTTGTCTATAGATGAATCAGGCAGTAAATATTTTAGGCTTTATGGGCCATATCTTCTCTGCTGTTGTGGCATGAAAATAGTCATAGACGATACATAAACAAATGAGCATGGCTATGTGCCAATAAAAGTTTATTTACAAAAGCAGACAATAGGCTAGAACCTGTGCCATGGTCTAGAGTCAAGACTGGCTAGAGGCACTGGAAGGGCCTTCCAAAGGTCATATCACCCCCCCAAAATCAAGCCAGAAGTTGTCATTGTCCAGCTAGAAGTGAAGTAGTTTACTGCTTCTGCCTCAAGGAACAAGTTACCTCCAACCCTTATAGGCACAGAAGTTGGAAGTGCAAAACTTCAGCTCCTTGCCAGGTCCACTCAGTCTCTGGCCTTACAGCGGAAGAGGCTGAGACTGGCAAAGCCACCAAAGCCCAAGAGTCTTTGGCAGAGCAGCTGCATTTCCTCCAGGGAGCTGACGTGCCCATTCACTTTTCCCCACCCCTCAGGCTCCTGCCACTGCAGTAGCTTGGGGAACCAAGAAGTCAGGGCCCCCCAGGGATATTCCAGAGCCAAGAATCTGCCAGCCAGAGCATGGGAAGCCCYGCCCCAGGCCATAGCTGCTGCTTCAGGGCCTGGGTTTGGCACTCGTGGAGAAGAGGGAAGGCTACAGGAGCAGGGGCATGGGTTTCTGGGCAGACATGGGTGTGGCTGGTCAAGAGAAATGGGACCTGACCACAGGTGTCACCCTGGTATGGATTTATCTGAAGAGCCTTCCAAAAGAGGTAGCAGAGGAGGCCAGACCCATCCCATGGCCTCTGAAAAGTCAGAGGTTGGGAGGGAGAGAATGATGTGAGGATGGAGGCAGTCAGCATCCTCCCTCACCCCCCACATGTGAGGGCTGGCACCCTCTCTCCATCCCCCACCCCGTGGGAAGCAGAGTGAGCTTCGTCATCACATCACTCTGGTCCCAGGCCAACTCCATTGTCTTGCCCTTCCTTTCCCTGTGGCGGACAGCCTTGCTGAGCTGATGTTCCCCAGTTGTGAAACAGGATGACAGGATCCATGCAGAGGGTGGTGAAAATGACATAGCATCTGTGAACTATTTCCCAACTGTCTAGCCCTAGTGGTCTCCTGCAGGTGAACATGAGAGGGCCAGCCTTGGCCAGGAAGACAAACACAGTGAATGATCATCACCCTCTCCAACACCCATCCTCTTCTAAAAATCATTCCCTGATCCCGTGACAAAGTTTGAGAGAGAAAAAAACAACAACAAAACAAAAACAAACACAAAAACCCCCGCAAGAACCTCCTCTCAATGCCAGCCTTCTCTCTGAGTCTCTGTCCTCATTTGTAAGGTAGAGGTGAGTCATTGCAAGAACGAGGTGCTCTGAGCACTGGGGGGCAGTGGAATTCTTAGCCCACCACCCCTTTTCCAACTGATGATGCAGGGGAATCCTGAGGCAGTGTTCCCTTGGTCAGCTGCAAATAGCCAAGACCCTCCGTCCCCCAACCCACTGTCTGGCCCACCCACAGGCTCCTGCACAAAGGACTGTAGCCAAAAGTCACAATTCAATTGGACCGGCCAACTGATTTCCGCCAATCCTTCCTTCTGGCCTCCACCCAGCCTCCATCTGGACCTTTGTCCCACCATCCCAGATAGGTGTCCAGGCCAAGATGTTCATCATCTTCTATCCCCTGCCCCACCCACCCTCACATCTGCCTTCCCACACCCACACCGAATGCTGGGCAAGGGAGGAACAGCATGAAAGGAGAGTGTGTCACCCCACTGGCAGCTTTCTGTCCCAAGAGGTTTGGAGAGAAAGTACAAGTCAAGGAGTCAAGGCTCATGGTGACAAGAACACAACTCTGCAGCCCCTCGATCTAGAGACATATTTGGATTTTGGTCAGAGCAAGGAAGGGCAATGAAATGCTCTTCGCGTCACCTCCACCCAGCACCTCTCTTCTTCCCTGCCTCCCTCCTGGTGGAGATACTGAAAGTGGAGAGTCCCAGGACATCCTTTAGAGTCCTCTGATGGAAGCCACTCCAGTCCCACCTTCAAGACATTGGGAAGAGGAGAAGGAAAGAAAGAGGCAGGGCAGCCCAACCAGCGGCATTTCTAGACAAAGCTCTGGGGACAGGAGGCACAGGACTGGTGCTCAGCCTTGATGCTCCTTCCCTGTGGCTCCTTGTCAGGCCTCCTGTCCCCGAGGTAAGCCCTTTTTTGAGGGTGGGCAGTGGAAAAAAAGGGCAGGAAGCACCTTCTTCCAGCCAGAGCCTAGAAGAACAAGCTGACCAAGGGGTCTCTCCAGGACTGTGGGACCCCTGCTCTCATCACCAGAAAACACAGCAAACAAGAGTGAGCACATCCAGATCCCTTAAAGTACTAGGGGTGGCTCATCTAAACTCCAGGGACCAAAATTACCCCTACTACATAAACATGGCCCACCTCACAGCTACCCTTTGAAGGCAAACCACTGAGACACAGTGGGAAGAGCTAAAGATCCCCAACTAACCAGCTATTTCTTCAAAGCTCCTGAACCTGCCACCCATCTGCCTGTAGTGGGGGGGGGGGACTCTTTAAGCCTGTGGAAGCAGCTGCTCCCAGAAAGAGAAACTCTCCAGCTTTTCTGAAATGCAAGAATTCTAGCCTGTTCTGAAATGCAAGAGTTCTGTGTGGCTGGGGGATAGCTCAGTGGTAGAGGGATGCTTAGCATGCAAGAAGCCCTGGGTTGATCCCTAGCACCACGGAAAGAAGGAAGGAAAAGAGAGAAAGAAAAAAGAGTTCTGTGGTCCTTCTGACCACAGAAGGACCTTAGGAGCTCAGCATAGTTTCCCCTATGCTGCTCAAGCCCTGGGACCGGCCAAGGGGCCACTGCTCTCCAGAACTAGTAACCTCACGTGGCCCTCACCTCTTTCGACTTCTCCTAGAGGGGACACACAGCCTTGGCCAAATCAGGCAATGCCTTGAGTTTGCACATACACCCTGTAATGTGAGTGTCACTGAAATGTGGAGCCTCCCTCTTATGCCAATTGTTTCCACCACACAGCCCTTTGCACCAGCCAAATCATCTGAGCATTTCAGGAAGATTGGGGCTACCCAGTCTCAAATTCAGGACTCCAGGGATCCATCCTATGCATCAAATGGACAGCTCAGGTCTGGAGCCTGGGAATACAAACTGAGAGGGTGGTGGTCTTTCCCAGCCAGCAAGCCCACCACCCTGGAGACCTCTGGAGAGTCCTGCCTGAAATACACCACTGCGTGGAGCTCCAGCCCTTGTTCCCTCCCGGGCCTGGAGAGTGTACTCACTCACAGGGCTTCCTCAGAGTTGGCAGCAGGGAGTATGGCCTCGAGTCCGGGCTTGGCAGACAGGATGGGGCAGGGGCTGGGTGAGGGGTTTAAAGGGCTGCCACTGTGGTGACGTCAGCCTCCCCGCCAGCTCGCCCTCAGCCCCCTCCCTGCCGAGGAAACCGACTCTGGTCCCCTCCCCCCCGCCCCCCAGTGACTCCACATAGGCTCCATATTTGGGGAAAGACACCAAGTTGGAGCAGTCTGTCGGGGGCTGCCCGAGACATTCTCTGCGTGCTTTGGAGATGGAGCGGGCCGGGGCGGGGCATGCTGCCGGCAGGAGTCGGCCGGGAAAAGCCTTTTATGGGCAGGACCACAAAGGCCTTCCCTGCCTCCGGATTTAGGGCTGCTCCTGCTTCACTTCTCCCTGCCCCCGAATTTGGGAGGAGGAACTCAAAGAGAGTCTGCCAGAGAGAAAAGGGACCAGGGAGCTGGGGATCCCTGGGTYTTGTAGGGGTAAAACAGTCACCTTCTCTCCTCCTGGGGCTTTTAACTCTAGTCAGAGGTGAGAACTATGCTTTACTAAGGACCTACTCCATGCCAGGCACTTTGCAAATACTGTCACTTAACACAGCCACATCGTGAGACTCTATTACTGTCCCCATTTTATGATGACTGAGGCCACATGATGAGTGGTGAGTGGCAGAAACAGGCACCCTGTCCACCTCTGATGGGCACTAGGAAAGTTGTCACACCCACTTTTTAAATTTTTTTGCAATCTGGGGATTGAACTCAGGTGTGCTCCACCACTGCCCTACATTCCCAGCCCTTTTAATTTCAAGACATTCCAAGTTGCTGGGGCTGGCCTACAATTTGCCATCCTCCTATTTCATCTTCCAAATAGTTGGAATTGCAGACTGGTACTATCACATCTGCCATACCCACTCTTCTCAGTTGTACCATCCTGGGGACAGCTTTCAGTTGGGGTTCATCTTGAGTTACATACTTTAGGAGGGAGTAGGATTTGAGGGCTCAGCAGTACTGTAGTGAACAGTGGCCCCATCCAGAGGGCAGTGATAAAAAGTTCTCCAAAGCACAGCAGGGCCAGAGACACTAACACTAGGGTAGAAGGTTCAGGAAGTTGGGTCATCCCTCCCTCCCTTTAGAACTGGGGATTGAACTCAGGGACCACCCTACCTACCCTGGAAAACAGACCAGACTACATCACCCCAAGAGGGAGATCCACTGACACCTTGCTTGTGGCTTGCTACAGGAGCCTTGAGAAGGGATAGGTTTAAAAAGTGGGAGACTTCCAGTGGGGTTTTTGGGCTATTGCTGTGGCTCCCACCATCCTAAGACTTGGTAAGGAGGATGTAATGCTCTCCACTGTACACACATATCTGGCAACACCCCAAGCCAAGCAAGGCTGCAGGAGAAACAGACAGGCCTGGCAGGGAGGGGCAGAGCCTGGCTCAGAAGCTCCGCCCACCACAGCTAATATTGCCAGCGCCAGAACCTAGTGATATAAAGAGCTACAGTGCCTCTCAGTGGCGCCTGAAGGGAAAAGAGGAGAGAAGCTAAAGATCAGTAAGAGAAAAGCCCACCCCTCCATTCCCAGACACCTAGACCTCTGAACTCACCTAATGTCCTGAACTCACAACTCCTWGGCCCCAAAGTCTTGTCCTCGGCCTGCTGAACTCTAAACAATTAACCTTCCAAGAATATCTCAAAATCCCCTTCTCTTGGGGCTTGCCCACCATCCATTACCATCTTGTCATCCCTGACCACCACCTTGCCATGGCCTGCACACACTGTCCACTAAAGCCATATCCGGGAGCACTGCCTGGGCCTGCAGCCTGCAGAGCTGGGAAATGCTCAGGCAGAAATGAAGCTGGTCTCAGCAGGGTGGGTGGAGGCCAGGTAGGTAGAGGCAGTTGCTATTTGCCAGGTAAGGGGGGATCTTAGAGGGTAGATTGCATGGCAAAGGCTTTTCCAATATCTGTGCCCAACACAGTGCCTGGTATAAAGTAGGCCCCCAGCAAATGTTTATTGRCTTAATGCTGTTGTTCAAGGCAGAGAAAAACACGGGGGAATCAAGAAACCTAATGCAACCATGGCATGGAAAAGAGAAAGGTCTCAGGAGAAATGGGACCTGGAGAACACTGCCCCTCACCACAACCAGTGTCAACATCTCCACCCAGGACATAAGAGCAAACAAGGGCCCAGGAACTGCATCTGGTTGTCTCTTTATTGAATGCACTCATTCATAGAAAACACAAACACAACCATAGCATGGAAAGACAAACCAGGGCTCTGAAACAAAAGACCCAGACCCATCTCCTCTCCCCAGCCCAAGCAGAGCTATAAAAACAACTTGGGGAGAATAATGCACATTCCCACCCCGAGGCAGAGGCCTGACCTGATGGCCCCTGTCCTTGGCATCTGGAATGGACCAGGTGAGGTGAAGGGAAGCCAAGGACTGGAGTGGCCAGGAGGCCCAGAGCTGGGGGCATCTCCATGTAAACTCCAAGGTGTGTGTGTGTGTGTGTGTGTGTGTGTGTGTGTAAAACTAACAAAGAACTTGGCTGGAGCCTGGATGGAAACTCAGAAGCCAGCCCTGGGTCCTAGAGTGAGGCTGAGCCTGGGGACATAAAGGACAATGGCATGTCCCTTTCTTTCTAAAGTAGGCACTGGGACTCTTGTGGCCATGGTGAAGGCTGGGCTCTGCACCATCCCTTCATTGCCGCTGGACATTCTTGGGCAGTGTCAATGGCACTGAAAGACCCCAGCTGGGGCTTGGCAGGACAGAGGGTATAGAAATACAGGAAGGGACGGACAGGTGAGTTACTTTTCCTTCCAATCCTGGTGCTGGCATCAGTCTGAGCACTCATGGGATGAGAGGGTAACATCTGAATCCAGCCCTTCAGACAAGAGGCAGCTCTCAAATTGAGCTGACTCTCATTGCCAAAGAGTCAGCCCGAGTGCACGTCGAGGGAGGAGGGTCCTGCCCTGGGCCCCTTGCAGGCCTTAGCACCAAAAGCCTGGCACCAACCAGCCAACCCCTGAAATCCCACAGCCATATCCATCCTGGGCAGTGATGGCAGCCAGGAACAGCCCYAGAGAACTGTGATCATGGGTCAGGGCAGAGAATCAGGCCCCAGTCCAGGCCCTGGAGCAGGGGCATGGGAGGAAGAAAGGGCTTTGGGTCCCAGGCTGAGGGGGAGGAGAAGGATGGGCAGAATGGAAGGCATGAAATGGGGAGGGCATTGCCTTCTCTCCTTCCTCCTGAAGAGGGACAAACAGCCAAGGAATGGGACCACAGAAAGCCCCAACACTGAGAAGAAAGCAGCAGTTTGGCCAATGTCTGGGGTATCAGGGAGCAGGCCTCCTCTCTTGCAGAGGGCAGCTGCGAGGCCCATGCCACCCTGTGACTGTCCCAAGTTAGGTCTGGACTAGACCTTGCCGTCCCGCTGCCACCCAGTGCTGGGCAGCAGGCCTGGGACTCACACCTCCAGAGCTACAGAAGCACCTGGCAGGTGACAGAGGAGCTCAGAGCCCCATGAGGTGAAGCGAAGGGTCTGGCTCCTGCTAGAAGACATAGATCTTGTCCCGTTGCACAGTATCCAGGTCGTCATCCAGTGTCAGCAACACCTGGGAGATGGCCACTGCATCAGGCACAGAGGAAAGAGGCAACCTCTGCCCCCACCCACCCTTCCACCTGGGCTCAGTACATACCAGGAAGGACCCAAACATGGCAATGGAGGACAAGAAGTGCCAGATGTCATGGTCATCAAAGAAGTCGAGGAGGATGCAGTCCCGGTTGTGCTCCCTTGACTCTGCAGGGGTTTTCTGGGGGAAGCACAGGGAGAGCTACCTCCTGACCCTGCCCTGCCCTGCCCTGGCAAGGCTAGGGCTGGGCCCACCTCCAGTATCACTCCAGGACACCCCCACTTCCCAGCTGGTCAGGAAAGCGCCTTGTTCTGACTTGTCTCTGGTCCTCATCCCCCACATCWAAGAAATGGACTTTTGTTACAAATTTCTGCCCAAGTTTGCTGCCTTCTATTCTTTCCTTTTATTTTAGTCTCATCCTCCCCCCTTCAGATTCTTCTTCCCTTATCTAAAAGCAGGGAGACATGATTAACTGAAGATGCCATAAACTCAAAAGATCCCCAAAGACACAGCTGACTCCTAACTCAGCACCCTGCCTTGGACTTAACCCTTGCTCTTATCTGTCCTTCAGGCTTACTGTTTTCTCCAGCACTACTGTCAGGTCATAACCTTGCTCCAGACAACAGCAGCCACGACCTGAGATTCCCAAGGTCCTCCCTACTCTATCTACAACCTCACCCCCCAAACATCTACAACCTCTACCCCCCAAACATTTACCGATCACCCACCCTGTATCCAGGGCTATCTGCTAAGTTAAGGGCTCAGGCAGGACCACAACCCATCCTGCCCTCGAGGATCTTGCAGTCCTTGCTTGGTTCCCAAACTGGTACATTCATTGACCTCCAAATCTACCTTATTCATTTCTACCTCTGTATCATTACTCAGGTCAAGCATTTCTGGGCCACAGGGCTCTTCCCCATCACCCAGAGCCTTTATGGCCAAGAGCAAAGCCTGCTTCCTTCAGAAAGTTTTCCTGGACCTCCTAACTCACAGAGGCCTCTCCGTCCTCTGTCCTGAATACCCATATCCTAGCTTACCCTTGCTCTTCATTTTAAATATGTTGTAAACAGCAAGATATAAACTAGGGGCTGGGATATAGCTCAGTGATAAGAGTATCTGCTTAGCATGTGCAAGGGCCTGGGGTTCATTCCTAACACCAAAATAATAAATAAAACTGAAAAATGAAAACGCAAGAGATCAGTGACTCTCTTGAACTAGATATAAGTGCCTCATAGGTAGATATCATGTCAGACTTAGTTCTAACTACAGATTCAAAGCCCTACACACAGCAGTGCCCTTTGAGGTTGGGGAGAGAGTCTGACAGCTCTAGCTTGAAACCCCAGCTGCCACTCACTGGCTGTGTGCCCCTGGGGAGGTCACTTGGCCTCTCTGAGATTCAGCTGCCTCATAAGTAAAATGGGGGGGGCTAGGGATGTGGCTCAAGCGGTAGCGCGCTC